CCAACATTTTCCGTCCTTAATGACGACAGAGCATTTTATCACGAAGAGCCATTGGTTTCCGGAACTCGACGGGTTCACGCCCCCTCCGTTCTCGACCGGTCTTCCTTCTGCCGGTAATTACTTAAGCACGGAGCGTTGATAATTGATACTTGAGAAAACGGTGGGGACCGTGGAAACCGGCATGGGAAGGAAATCACGCACGATCCCGTCACGCACAATTTGGGCGTCATTCCACGTGTGTTGCCACCGTGAGAAACCGCCTTCCGGCCTTTCCACACCCAGGTCGAAAAACTCACTTTCGGCTTCGTATTTGCTAATTAATATGTGCCTGAAGCTAAATATTCGCCTTTAAAGGCGCAGAACGTCGGAAAGCACGCATGAATGAAACCAGGCTGATTCTCATTCAAGTCACGAAATCCGCCTGCATTCGGCCGTGGGAGAAACTCATTCATGATCAGGAAAAATCCGACGAACTAAATCGCCCATACAAAAATGTCAGAGGTGATTCGACGGTGACTACTGTTAAATTCCCGTTGAATGGATGTCGAAAACCGGTGATTCAACAGTGACTCATCGTTTACTTGCTGGTTTCAATTTCATCATGTTCAACTTTTACTGTGAGGGCGCTGACATGTATCGTAAATATTGCACTCGAAAAATGAATCAATCGATGCTTTCAAATCGTAAATCAATCATAAGATTTCAATCAAGATTATCTGAAACACTGCGTCAAAAGATAGAATATTTCTGGTTAAAGTAATGCGCGTGAACGTGTCAAATGTGCCTGTCTTCGTTGGAATCGTGCAATGCAAAATCTGCAAGACCGCCAGAAATGTTGAGGATTAAGTGAATATTTGCTCGAAGCAGCGTCGCTCGAATCGACTGAAATCACGATGTGCGGGTGGTCACGCTACAGCATATAAGAAACTACTCTAATATTAATTTCCTGCAGACTCGATAAGCGATGTATGAGTCGAAAACACGGATCTCTTTATTCTCCGAGATCGTAAGTCTTATCGCACGATGACATCTAGGGCGACGCGAATAAACGCCACGCCCCTTTGTGAATTAACTCTATCGATTCGTGGTGAGGTTCGCGACGACGACCGCGAATGCGCTACGATATCGTGTAATGAAGAGCTTTCACGGGAGATGCGGGAGCCCGATGGGAGCCGGAGAGGAGCAGAGGAGCCAGGAGAGGAGCCACACGCAAACGACAGGAGATAGAATCGCGATAGAACGGGTCCTTCTCGGAGTCCCACGCGAAATCTGGCCCCTAATCTCCAGCCGTATTGTCATGAATCCTCAGTCCACGTGACGGACCTGCAAATGCATCGATGGAGACGCGAGCCCGTTCCGAGCCGTTTCCGTTCGCCGGCGACGTTAAGTTCGGATGGGACGAATTTGTGGATCGATTACGACCAAAAAAAGCAACAAATGGTTCTTTGTTCTCTTTCGGTCTGTACAAGGTCGGCGGGGAAGGCCTCGGCTCGACGGGATTTCGAGTACCGCGGGTACTCGTAAACGACCGATGTCGACAGTACTTCTTCTTTAGACGTACCGTCGGATTCCGACGAGATGCAGAGAAGTAGGTGAAGGCCAGGCGAGTGAAGACGTTTGTGGAGCCGGCGACGTGGATGAAGATCTCGTATGCACGCTGGAGCTAATCCCCAGAGCACGCCATTCCCGTCGTCTTTCGACACGGAATTGTGAAGGGAACCGAAGAGAGGAATCCGAGAAGCAGAATCTGACCGAAGCGGAATCGGACGGGGGAAAACGTTTTCGTGCCGTCACGACCGGCATTTCTGAAAATCCTGCCGCGTCTTTGTCGTCCGGTTATGAACCCGACCTGCGACAGTCGCGATCGTTGTGGCATGACGATTCCTTTCTCTCTTCTCTCTCGTTATCGGTAAATTGGAGACATAAATCCGACTAAATGAAACGGGAAACCATATTCGAAATGAAATGTTCATCCCAAATTCACCTCAAGTGCACTGCGAACGTCAGTTTTTTTGGCAACGCGGGAAGAAACCGAACCGTTTCGAACGTATGGAGACGGAATCCGAACGATCGAAACAGAATACAAACCGAAAAGCAAATATTTTGGATGAGACCGCCCCGAGAGATATCTAGCGTTAATCGGGAGAGTCTCCTCGAATCGCGGAATGGCTTCATTTCCGTGGTTTTTGTCGCTCGTGAAACTCAATCCAGGCTGTTACCCGGCATCTTCCATCGATCGGAGCCGCCAAGGGCACGATCGCGACAGCCGTCATTGATAGAACGAGAATTTCACAAGGCGACTCTGCGACATCGCGTAATTTGTCTCCTCGGCGTTTAACGAGCATGACGTAATCCTTGTCTGCGCCTCTTTATCTCCCGACACGTCCTCTCTCTCCATCCCAAAGGATTCCCACCGTGTCGGTCTACGTGTCGGTCTCCCCGCGAGTGACGGATCGTCCTCACTCGCCACTCCCCTCCGAGCGCAGCTATTTCCGAGGGGACGCGTCCCCTTTTCCTTCCCTTTTCTTGCGTTTCTCCGGGACACGTGGTGTCCCTGACCCGCGTTCCCTTCCCCATCGCGGACTCGATGATCCCGGATGGGGGAAACCCGAGTCGGAAGCAACGGGAAGGAACTCTTTGCTCCCGTTTCGATTCATTCCATCCGAATGTTTCTCTTCGTTCCGATTGCGATCGAGTCGAAATATCATCGCGATCTCTCTCCTCTCGTGTGTCGACGAGCGACGGAAAGGGCGGAGTCGGCAGTTCCTCGGTGAAGCACCTTCGAGTCGACGCGAAAATGCAGTCCGACACGGATACCCGGTCGGACGCGGAAACGGCGTCTCCCATTTCTCACTCGGCGTGAGAACAGCACCTGGCCGTCGAACCTCTTCGCATCAATTTGCACACATGGCAGATGAACGAGCGAGATGCTGCACGAGGAATGGCACGCTGGAGGAATGGCACGCACGAGCCGGATTACGGATGGCAATCCGTCGGTCAGCACGGTCTCGTTACGGAGGAATCCGTCCGAGTCGTCCGAAATTCCACGGACAAAAAAACGGGGAAAAGAACCGGAAAAGAGTGGAGGCTAACGAAATAACCGCGAATTTCCGATCCCCTCTCGCGTTCGATGCGAAGACGTTCGCAGATCTTCACGGAAGAAACTAGTGAAATTCCTGGATTTAAATTGCGTGAGAAATTTAGCCCTCCCGTTCAACGCTTTCAGAATTTCGACTTAGGTCAACGGTCACCAGTAAGTCACCGATTGGGCCGCCGCCGCCGCCGCCGCTCCCGGCAACGATTGAGTTTTTCCATCACGAAAGCGGCGATCGATGAGGACGATGAGCACATGTCGAAGTTATTTCTCCCCTAATATATTACGAAGTTCCTGGCAGCCAAAAATCGTTAGAACCGCACGGGCCACCCGAGGCATGATTGGCTTCATTCCCTAGCCAAATCGGGGAACTAGAATTTTTTTTTAACTTCCGCGAACTTCCTTTTTCTTTTAAACTTCAGCGAATTTCGTTCCTCTGCCCGAAAATCCACCCTGGGTGTGCAATTAGCGCGATTTTCTTCACTTTCGGCGTTCGAGGCTTCCGAAGCTCCTCGAGAGGAATCACACGGCATGTCCCCCTGATATAGTTGCTATGGCAACCGAGGCAGTTTAAAGATAAAGTAGAGATTGAGAAGATTCGTGAAATGGATGAGGGGTGATACGCACCGCATCGGATAAACTGAAGCTAATCTCAATCTGAAGCTGAAATCATCTCGTAAAGAAAGGTCCCCCGTGGGAATCACGGAGATGGTCACGGATCACCCCACGGATGCCCATTACGAAATCGGATGAGTTTAAAATAATAAAAAAAAACGGACCTGGCGCATGTCACCCTTCGAAGTGACATGCGCCAGTTTATATGAAGGCGAAGGAAATGCGTAAAGAAATTTAGTGAGCGTGTCCCTCTCTCCCATATTTACATCATTTACACTTCACCCTCGTATATTTTTTATTCAGCCAAAGGGATCCAAAGGAACCCAAAGGAACTCGAATTCCATTGTACAGTGAATGAATGGGAAAGTGCGCGTTCCACGGCGCACGCCAGCGGGAAATAACCCCCGATTTTCCTTTCATCCTCCATTTTCGTCCTCCCTTCAAACCTCCACTTTTGTCCTACCTTTCATTCTTCACTTCCTCATTGCCTTCTCTGTGCATTCTCTGGGTTTCTGGGAACTCGGCGGATGGAACGATTTTTACGACGAACAATAGACCGAAAGGAAAGTGGATCCGACGTTGCGTGGAATCGGCCGGGCGTTTTGCAATCTCGGGGGCGGAATGTCACGGATGCAGAGTCGAAAGTGGTGAAACTCGGAAGAGATCCGAATCAGAAATGTCATAAACCGGAAATTCGTTTCAAGATTTCAATTCAGGCTTCGAATTCGGACTTGTTTTGAAATCGAAAATTGTTGGGTTTTTAATCCTGTAACTGCCGTTCTGGCTGGAATGGAACCTCCGTGGCGTGTCCTTGCGTGCGTGGGGGGCGTTTTGGGGGTCATACCCCCCACCCCACCCCTTTGGGATCAATTTTACAGGTTCGATTGTCACAAATTTTTTAATTTGGCCACAAGTACAGGGTGGATTATCAGTTTTTTTCATATGTTAACCCCCCCCCCCCCATTAGGATGGGTAATCAGTGTTTCATATGGCAACCCTCCCCCCCATCCCCCCATTCGAATTTCCTGGGCACGCTACTGTGGACCCTGGTACGAAGAGTTTAATTATTTGTTTCGGCTGCGCCGTAAACGTGTAAATACCGATACTCAGGGTTTTCAAGACACTTAATTAGATTAGATAGTAATTAGGCCAAGTATTCTAAGGAGATTCTTTGGGAACGACGAGATGAAACAAAGAGTGAAACACATCACCAACCGGATCCCGTTCCGGGTTAAACCCGGAACGAGAATTTAACGAGATGGGAACATTTTAGGTAGAATCGGGGACTCACCGATGGTTTTGAGGATCTCGAAGTTGTCCAGGGCGTATTCCTTGTCCGGTTTCTCGCCGTTCACGGCCGGGGGCGGCGGGGGTTCCTTCGGGAGGCTCCCCGCACGCCGTCGTGCCACCTTAGACGACGCCATGCTTACTGTCGATGCATTCGGTCGTGAGACGCGAGAACGGGAGTGAGCGGAAGAGAGAGAGAGGTCAAGAACCGCACAGGCCGAGTAGGAGCGGCCGACTGCCCTTCTCTCCCTTCCAGCGCATCCCTACGCTCTCTCTCTCTCTCTCTTTCCCCCCCCCCCCCCCCTCCAAAAAAAAATTCCTCTAGGAAAAAGCTGCAGGAGACAAAAATGAGAGCCTGCAAGGAGACCAGTCCCACTTGGTTGCCTGGATCAGCGGGTCTGCAAGTCTTCCCGGGGAGTAAAGGAAAAATACGGGGAAATAAGAGAAGCTCGAGATCTCTTTCCTCTGGCCAAGCTGTGAGGAAAGGAAGAAAAGAGCGGTTAATTGTTTGTAGCCGGCAATCAGAGTTAATGAAGGTCTCTCCACGACGTAAATGCGACCGCGGCTGGTCAAAGAAGTAAGTCCAGATTAGTAGTTTTGCTTTCCCTTTTTTCATTAGTGGTCCCCCTCTGAAAGAGAAATGAGTTCATTATGCAATCGCCAGGATGCGTGTGTGTATTTGTCATTACAAAACTTTCGTCAATATTGGTAGGAACACTATTGCTTAAAATTTTACAAAATGTTTACAACTCGGAAATGAAGAAAACTTGCCATCTAGTTGGTTTTAAAAAGATTGAATAAATAACAAATATTTGTTAAATAACTGTAAAAATGTGTGAACTCTTGAAGGAGTTCGGTGGAGTGGCTGGTCATCCCTCTTTCGCTTCCACCATCAATCATCCCCACACTCACTGCCTCCAGGCATTCTCTACCGTTCTCCATCGCCCTTTACGCTTCATAGCCCTAGATGGACGCCCGTTGTCAACTGCCGATGGCTCACAAAGCTCTTAGTATCCTCATTTACTTTCACGCCAACCGCAGCCCCAAGAAAGTTAGACAGAAACATTACTTGCGCAAAGCTGAGTCCAACTCATGCAGCTAATTTTTTCGGGATCATGCGATGGGGTTTTGTCTCTCACTTCCCTTCATTCCTCTCTTCTTTATTTTCTTCCTTCCCATTGACGCAGAATGTGGCGAATTTTTCATGAGCTTACGGTATTCATCCCATGCGTATTTTCATCTGTAGCCACGCTGTCGAAAGCTGTATGATGAATGGAGAGTGTGGCGGGAGGGAAAGCAAGGCTGGAGAAAAAAGTCATGAAAAAAGAGCAGCGCTGTTTTTATACATAAGGCAACATGTATGATGTATGAACCAGACACATAATTATGTGATGGGTCCCGTGGATCTCATCCTTGTCCAGAGAGCTGATGAAGCTCATGAAGACCCCAGAAAGAATTCTCTCATTCTGACAGTGATGTCTGTGACATCAAAAAGTCGGTACATCTAGACCTACACTGCAAACGCATTTTCAAATTCAGAAGCTACTTGTCATCAGCTCTGGTTTTTTTTTAAAGATTTTTTTTCATGCTCATTGTGCAATTACTTGGATGTCTATGTGTGTGTCTATTAATGCGAAGCTTCCTTCAACCTTTATGCGCCGCATAGATGTACAAGTGCTTGAAACGTCGCCAAAATTTTATCCCATAGCTCAAACGCGGTAACCTTGACATCTGTTTGGCTGTTTAATTTAATCCAATATTTAATCCAATGAGAAATTTATCGTGACATGAATATAAAATGCACAGAATCTAATAGAAGCGCTGCACGGTACAGTGGATAGAGGCAGGTCTCCGTCTGACTCAATTGGCCAATCGGACCACCAGCCATCTATGCCAACTTTCTCGCCCGCATATGCACCGTCTGGGTGTCCTTTCTTGCTTCCTCAAACTACTATTCTCCAGTTCCTTCTTCATGTCTCATTACTATATTCTATCTCCGATGACTGTACGTTTCAAAGAGGCTCGCCCAGCCCCTTATGCTTCTTAAACCTTGTTTATTCAAAACAGAAATGAGAATACTTATGCAATCACTTGGATATGTGTGGGTCTATAAATCGGCGCCTGTCTTCCTCAGTGCGAATTATTTTCGTCTTTGTTTTTATGATGCTTCACTACTTCTACTGCTTCACAATTAATACTGCTTCAAATTTGCCGAAAATTTTTCCGCCGCTCAGATTTGTGGCAAGCATGGCATTTGGTTTCGAAATTATTACTTCCTATTAAATACATTAAAAAATGGGTGCGTTCTCCTAAAGGAATAATGTGGAGTGGATGGTCGTCCCTTCTTCACGACGAACCATTCCCACTGACCCCACCTCCAAGCTTCTTGTATTCTCTTCCTTTTCCCTTTATTCGTCATTCATCCCATTGTTTCGCCTGTACGATCTCTTACGGTGCACCCCAAGGAGGCTTCGCTATCGGACTGGGCTATGCCCAGATTGCTTTTTCTATTATGATTTAGCCATAGCGCCGAGCTAGCGCGTTCCGACTCCGAAGGACATCATAGTCCTACTTCGGAAATGTATCCAGTTTCACAAGGATCAGGAAGAGCAGGATGATTCCTACCTCACGAAAATTTTCTGTCGCGGAAGTGATATTTAAGTCTAAAAATTGTTGACATCAATCTACATTGTAATACGCAGTTAACCGAATTACCTAACTATGAAGGAGAGGGAATATGAAGGTGAAAGGTCTCAGGTTAAAATGGTCTCAGATTGTCACGGTCTGTAGGCTAGCACAAAAAATACAAGAACATGTTAATTTATTTATTAATTAAAAAGTTAGTTAGTTTTTTCTCCGATGCTACTTCCTAAATGCTCTTTCTTGAGTTGGACTACGCAATCTCTTGGACCTCAACGACGCCCTCTACATATGATTGCTAATTGTTTTTCTCTTACTACTAATTAAAAGTTAATCCTGAGTTCTTTGTGTCCGTTGACATTTTGTTACCCGCGAAGCGGATACCGTGAGACGCGGGTGTGATCTAGTATATTATATACTCTGTCCCAAAAAAATGTGAAACCTTTTCCAATTTTTAACATCTCGTAATTGGTTCAGGCTATCGCTGTGCGCCTTTGTGGGCTGACTAATGCATCCAATGAGCACATGCATGCTGAGCTATAACAATATCCATTCGCTAGATCTTGAAATACAGGAGGTGATTCAGGGCGTGCCAGCAGTAAGGGAGTGCCGCCAGAACTGTACGGGCGTATTAGTCCAAATTCAGTATTGTGCCTTATACAGGATGGCTGACGTGATGCGCACGACCAAGGTAACTGCATTAATCTTTCCTGTTTGACACTCGGATGAGGTGCTCGAAGTGCCCGCCTTGTCATCCTGTGAACAGGCACGTGATATTGATCGAAACCCAAACGCTGCACGGTTCGCATTCTCCTGCGACGGGGAAACGATGAGTTCCACTCTCTGGCTGGCTGTGCTCGCGTCTAGTGCGATCCAAGGCAATGTCCGCCGCAACCTTACTTAGAATAAGCTGCTGCATCTCCGAAATGAACAAATGGATTTTGATACAAATTTGCGTGCATTTGCTCTTAGTCTTAGTCTTAGTCAGCCCTCAAAAGCGCACAGCGATAATCTGAACCAATTACGAGAAGCTACAAATTGAAAAGGGTTCCAACATTTTTTTGGGAGAGTGTGTACTGTAAGTTGTAGGTGCTGATGGCACTGTGCATGGACGAAGTTGTCCCGAAACAAGATTAGATGTGTATAGCAACTGCATTGGAGAAACCAATTACTCTTCTTCATCAATTAAGAGGGCGAATAACTGTCGAGCACGCCAACACCAGCAATCATGAAAATTGATGCACTGGATCGTCGAATGAGGTCGCCTCGAGGACGCATTAGAGATCCTGTACTAGCGAGAAGTTGCCAAGTAAAACTGGGAAGCGGAGTCATCATGGGTACGTATCTGATTGGAAAGAAAGTTCTCGGAATTTCATGAACAA